TCAACTTTGTAGCATAGCCAAAGCATGTAATAAGGTTATAGTGTGTGTCTTGTACTTTTTCCATGCTTTCCTTTTAAGTTTTATTGGCCAAAGTGCGTTTAGTTTGTTATAGGGGTCCAGATTTGAAAGTTTTGTCTTGCAATTTCTTCGATTTTGCGGACCGTTCAAGTGTTATCATTCTCGTGCCTATACATCAACGTAGCTTTGTTAAAAAAGATGCAAAGTCATCAATGATTATCAAGGAGCAGTTCAGAAGCGATGTCATTAGGCTTGAGGTGTTTGATACTTGTATTGTACTTTTTAATCTGGTAAGGGATGTCTGTAAGTGTTGCATGTTTCTTTAATAAATTTACCCCTCCTTATTCAAAAATAAATAAATAAAGGAAAAACAATACAAGTACTATGTAAAATTTCTTATCTAATCCGTCATAAGATAACAAGCCACTTTGTTAATTGAGTAGATTGTGATTTGACTTTGCCCTCCCTAATCCCTATTTTAATGCAATTCAAAGAAAAGACCATACTAATTGATAAGGCAAAGATATACAAAAATTGAATTAGAGAATTTATCTTTGATATTTCTTCCGTATATTTTTAGGTATTTCCTCCGTATATTTTTAGGTGACATTTCTAAGACTATAAACTACTGTAATTTTTTTTTTTTTTTTTTTTTTTTTTTGAGTAGTATTAACTACTAACCTACTGTATTTATTTGTAGGTCGTTCTATAAGAATTGAGCTTACCGTGTAAACATCAAAAGTAAACGAATTCAATGAAAATCAATTCATCCTCATCCTTAAGAATTAAGATACTGTTTGGGTACTAAAATGGTCATACCCATTTTAGTCTTGGGTAACTCTACCCATATAAGCCCAAAGGCCATAAAAAAGGTATAAAAGACCCCAAATAAGTCAAATACATCAATATGGCCTTCAACGGCTCACATATGTAATTTTAGGGCTCATAAACCCACTTATGTACTCATATAAATACCCCTCAAAGGGCATAAGGTAAAGGGAGGTCACTCTTATCATCTAAGGTAACCATACTCCTCCACTCTCTCCCCTAAACTCCTCTCAAAATATGCATTGTTTGGCAACTAACTTGGGCATCGGAGGCTCCGCCCCGGGTTCAACCCCCGGGGCTCGGGGTTCATTTTGCAGGTCCATTCAAGGCCCAAATTCGAGGTTCTCAGACACCCCTCCAAGGCCCGGTTAGCTCATTTTTTGCCGAAACAATTTGGCGCCGTCTGTGGGGAGACGAGTACTACTACCCATGAAAATCCACTAATTCATGGCTACTGTGTTCTATCACGAAAAAGGGTCAAAATTTCTAGCAAATTTAACCCAAAATTATTACTCCTGTCAAAAGGGGTAATCATTCTTGCAAATGGTGGAGATGATAGATAAACATTTTGATTTGTCGCCAATCTAACCACTACTAACAAGGTACTTCGTGCCTTTACAAAAAAAAATTGGGAAATATTCCATGAATATGGCCAAACCTTAATTATTCTTGAAGAAGAATAAAAGCTAGATCTACGTGGCTCTAATGGAAAGCTCACAAAAGCAAGCCTTTCATTCACACCACCAAGTTGAAGAGGCAGCAGGTGGCATGAAACATACATAAAAAATCAATCAAGTTTATGTAAATTCAATGCTTGCCGAAGGAAATTTCCATTGTCTTCATCACAAGCTTCAAGGCTCACAACTCCACCACTAGAACGACTCACCATTTCATCCTAGGCAACACATGCCGAGGTCAATGGGGGTCAAGGCTAGTATTGTGAAGTGAGCCAAATCTCTTCACATCACATCTAAAGTAGCAGCCGAAGAAGATCCGAGGTTGTCTACCATTGTTGAAGCTTAAAAAAGCTCAAACTATCACCAATCTAAAAATCCGAAGCAATTAGCTCGGATAAGCAAAAGGAATCCGAAGCTCATCGAGCCGAGGCTATCCGAAGGTGTTTCAGCCCAAGCCGAAGGTGTTCTGGGCAAGCCAGCCGAGCCGAGACCGGTGTTTCGGCCAAGCCTAAGGCTTTTCAGCCGAGGCTATCCGAAGGAGTTTCAGCCCAAGCCGAAGGCGTTCTGGGCGAGTCGAAGGTGATTCAGCAGAAACCAAGGGTGGTACAGTTTACCGTTCCCAAGTTAAGGTCGGTAACCATTGCCGAGCCGAAGCTCACCTCTTATCTCCTGGCCGGGGCTAGCCATAGCCGAAGCCGAGCCCAGCCGAGGTTTACCTTCGCCGAGATTCGAGCTCCCAGCCAAAGCTCACAGCCATATGAGCCGAGGGTGCTGCCGAAGATGGTTTGTCTGAACCGAAGAAAGAGTAATCAACTCTTTCTATCTTCGGATCAAGAGTAAACTCTTTCTATCCCCGGATCAAGAGTAATAAACTCTTTCTATCTTCGGATCAAGAGTAAACTCTTTCTATCCCCGGATCAAGAGTAATAAACTCTTTTTATCCTCGGATCAAGAGTAAACTCTTTCTATCCCCGGATCAAGAGTAAACTCTTTCTATCCTCGGATCAAGAGTAAAACTCTTTCTATCTTCGGATCAACAGTAAACTCTTTCTATCCTCGGATCAAGAGTAATAAACTCTTTCTATCCTCGGATCAAGGGTAAACTCTTTCTATCCTCGGATCAAGAGTAATAAACTCTTTCTATCCTCGGATCAAGAGTAAACTCTTTCTATCCCCGGATCAAGAGTAATAAACTCTTTCTATCCTCGGATCAAGAGTACACTCTTTCTATCCCCGGATCAAGAGTAATAAACTCTTTCTATCCTCGGATCAAGAGTATAAACTCTTTCTATCCTCGGATCAAGAGTAAACTCTTTCTATCCCCGGATCAAGAGTAAACTCTTTCTATCCTCGGATCAAGAGTAAAACTCTTTCTATCTTCGGATCAAGAGTAAACTCTTTCTATCCTCGGATCAAGAGTAATAAACTCTTTCTATCCTCGGATCAAGGGTAAACTCTTTCTATCCCCGGATCAAGAGTAATAAACTCTTTCTATCTTCGGATCAAGAGTAAACTCTTTCTATCCCCGGATCAAGAGTAATAAACTCTTTCTATCTTCAGATCAAGAATAAACTCTTTCAGTCCTCGGATCAAACCTTGGATTAAGAGTGTTTCCTCGGATGAACTCTTTCAGTCCTCGGATCAAACCTTGGATCAAGAGTGTTGCCTCGGATGAACTCTTTCAGTCCTCGGATCAAGAGTAATTAACTCTTTCAATCCTTGGATCAAGAGTGTTGCCTCAGATAAACTCTTTCTATCCCCGGATCAAGAGTAATAAACTCTTTTTATCCTCGGATTAAGAGTAAAACTCTTTCAGTCCTCGGATCAAACCTTGGATCAAGAGTGTTGCCTCGGATGAACTCTTTCTATCCCCGGATCAAGAGTAATAAACTCTTTTTATCCTCGGATTAAGAGTAAAACTCTTTCAGTCCTCGGATCAAACCTTGGATCAAGAGTGTTGCCTCGGATGAACTCTTTCAGTCCTCGGATCAAGAGTAATTAACTCTTTCAATCCTTGGATCAAGAGTGTTGCCTCGGATGAACTCTTTCAGTCCTCGGATCAAACCTTGAATCAAGAGTGTTTCCTCGGATGAACTCTTTCAGTCCTTGGATCAAACCTTGGATCAAGAGTGTTGCCTCGGATGAACTCTTTCAGTCCTCGGATCAAGAGTAATTAACTCTTTCAATCCTTGGATCAAGAGTGTTGCCTCGGATGAACTCTTTCAGTCCTCGGATCAAACCTTGGATCAAGAGTGTTTCCTCGGATGAACTCTTTCAGTCCTCGGATCAAACCTTGGATCAAGAGTGTTGCCTCGGATGAACTCTTTCAGTCCTCGGATCAAGAGTAATTAGCTCTTTCAATCCTTGGATCAAGAGTGTTGCCTCGGATGAACTCTTTCAGTCCTCGGATCAAGAGTAATTAGCTCTTTCAATCCTTGGATCAAGAGTGTTGCCTCTGATGAACTCTTTCAGTCCTCGGATCAAACCTTGGATCAAGAGTGTTGCCTTGCATAAACCTGAACAAATAAAGTCCTTCGACTCAATTTCTATGAACGAATTATTTGGGAAATTGAAACAAAACCCAACTCATTTTTTCAAATAGAATTGGGTCTGGGGGGCTAATTGTTTGGGTACTAAAATGGTCATACCCATTTTAGTCTTGGGTAACTCTACCCATGTAAGCCCAAAGGCCATAAAAAAGGTATAAAAGGCCCCAAATAAGTCAAATACATCAATATGACCTTCAACGGCCCACATATGTAATTTTAGGGCTCATAAACCCACTTATGTACTCATATAAATACCCCTCAAAGGGCATAAGGTAAAGGGAGGTCACTCTTATCATCTAAGGTGACCATACTCCTCCACTCTCTCCCCTAAACTCCTCTCAAAATATGCATTGTTTGGCAACTAACTTGGGCGTCGGAGGCTCCGCCCCGGGTTCAACCCCCGGGGCTCGGGGTTCATTTTGCAGGTCCATTCAAGGCCCAAATTCGAGGTTCTCAGACACCCCTCCAAGGCCCGGTTAGCTCATTTTTTGCCGAAACAGATACAATTAAATAAGTAATCTTTGATGACAAGCTAACACGAAACGGCTTCATAGAGACGTAAGAATCCTTCGCTAATCCTTGGACTAAAGTCATTGGCTTTAATGTTATGTTTCATGTGTGTATGAATTCTAAGTAGTTGGCCTGGACAATTGGTGATTTCATTGATTGTTTAGTTTAACTACTAGTATCTATTTATATGATAAACAAAGCTACCTTGTTCCAAGAAGATACGTAAAAACTCAAGCCTAAAATTCGAAGTATTCTACTCGTACTATAACAAACACCCATGCTGTTAAATTAAGAGCATCTATAAAACCCTTGATCATTTAAAGAAAATATTGACTTGTCACACCTACAGGAATTTCCGTCCTAATTTTCTAACCACACTACCACACCTAAGCTAATTCGGTAAAGTAAAGGAAATGAATTTTTTTTTTTTTTTTTTTGTTTCTTGTAAGAAAACTCTTGATTCATAACCTATTTTTGCCCAATACCGCCTTTGACCAGTATCCAACACAGCCAAGATAGGAACCCCATAACTCCCATAATAAATAACCCACTACATTTTTCGGCACCTTAATAGAACCTTTAGGTACATAATTAGTGATAAGATCCATCTCTTGGAGCTCTTAACTACCTTACAACATATATTAAATTGAACAAAACTCTTGTAGGTCGTTGTTTAAGATCCCTCGTCATTGATTTCAAGCCACCATGGGCCTTTGTGTGATCTGAACTAGTGAATATATACGGTTTCAAACAATCAATAGACACTTTAAGATGCCTAGTCCACAACACCTTGAGCTTTTGAGCATGTATGGCATTATACACATCAATAGCACTTACAAAGATTCGAGGGAATGCCTAGAAGAATTCATTCATTCTTTGACTCACAAGGCAAATATCCAAAATATCTAGGAGAAAAGGATTCTCAACCCTCAAGTGATCTCTTAGGAGTTACGATGTGCCAAGATTCCAAAAGATCGTATAGACCACTCATATGACATTGCATACATCAAATTTGTAGACTGTATTGGAACACCAATTACAGTGGCAGGGTTTGCCTCACTTATGCCCTTAGGTGACTACATTGGATAGAGGATCTGCTGGACAACGTTGTCGTCTCTGGGTGATCAGCTTGATCCAGTGAACATCTGGTGCAAGAACATATAACACGTATGAACCGAGTACCACTCATGTGCAAAAACAAGGACGTGCTTCATACTCAATAACATGATTCAGTATCAATATCTTACAGACAAAAACTTGCTATATTATTCACAAAATATCAATACATGTGATGACTGATGAGACAAAAAATTGGATTATTGCCGCCTGTAATAAAAATAAATTGGGTTAGTTTAGTAGAAAAAACTCCATGATGTACATCACTACATTCCTATAACATTACTCGTATCTTTAAAGCGGGGAGGGTAGGGGTTTATCTTGCCCTAAATTTTACTACTTGAAGACTCTACACCTCGCTATTTTTTCCGCCTCGGCTATGCTCATGTGTCTAATTCCATGATGTTTCATCCAGCTCTCTCCTTGAATAAACAGTTCTTGAAGGATATTCTCTTCTAGTTTCAGCAACTTGAGGCCTTCACTTACACGGGGAAAGAAACCTTCAGGTCTCAAACACCAACTCCTGAATACGCCATATAAAACATCCATGTCACCTCCAAACCTCTCAACACCACCACTATAGAACTTTGTGTTGGTCATAAGAATACCATTAAATATCAAGCGATCTATTCCACTCGCTAAACTTCTCCATACTGTAATAAAGTCCATGCTGTTTAGACCTTCTTCCAACCTAGACATCTTCCCCTGCAAAAAATCAAGAGCTACTACAAAAGATCTTGTTACTGTCCAGCCTTCTTCAATCATTTCTTGCCAGTGCTTCTTATTCTTTATATAATCTCGAATCTGAGCATCAAATCCTCTTAAAACAACATTAGTCATCTTATCAATCCATTCTTTTCTAAACTCCTCTAGTTTCGTGATTTCCTCATCTAAAACCCCATTTTCACTTCCCTCAGTGACACCAGTGGAAAGACTACTCTCTCCAAAAACTTTTCCTGATTCATTGTCATCTGCAAGTCCCATTTCAACAAAGATAATGTCATCACACCATTCAACTAAGATAGACTCGAGATTGTGAGCAGAATTAACTGCGGTCATAACTCTGGCCACAGCATCATCATCTGCCAAAGCAGTGAGCCCTTCAGCATCTTGGCATTTGGTAAGCAAGCAATTCAGGAAGGTCTGAATTATTGGAGCACCCACTAGTCTGACAAATCGAGATCTTAAAAACACAGAAGGTATTGATCTACAGCGGTCAATGACTGATGATACATGTTGGAGAACTATGGATGAAGCTACGGGAGATTTGTAAACATCAGACCCAGGAAAAAAAACTGCTCCTCGAGTTTTTGTTGTCCAATTTCTGTCATCCTCCATCTCAGGTTTCAACTTCTCTAGTATATTGTCCAGTTCTATTTCCGCCCATAAATCAAGCCAGTCTGGCCGATCACAGAAGACAGAGAGAGAAGACATCCTTTGCAAGAGACTGTATTCCTCAGAGTCTAAGATCCCAGAGAGGGCAGCAAGAGCTTGAATCTTTTTATCAAATGCTATCATCAAATCAACCAGATGAAGCCATGACATTCTTCCCTGTGGCCTAACCTCCACTGTAGTCTCCTCATCCAAACGAGAAACATATGCAGGGAATATTTCCTTTGCCAAGTAAGTTGACAGGGAGGTTACCATGCCTGAAATCCATTCCTCTCTGCAACTGTATCCTGTCAACATTGCTTCATCCACCAAGGGTTGCAACAATCCATCCACTGAATCAATATAATCCCTTGTATTCTTGTAGACAAGAGCAAAAATATATTCAGGCTTATCTACCCACTTTTGGAAATGATGAAGAGATGCAAGGGAGAGAGGATTCACAAGTTCTTCAATACCCCAGAGTGGCTGGTAAATAGAAGTATTATGGTTATACCCCTCGAGTTGCCGTGACTTCCTTCGTCGCTTTAACTCCTGTAGGCTGCATAAGGCAAGAAAATTTTCACAATACTTCTTTTTAAGCTCTCCATGCATTGCTGAGAGAGGATTTGACTCTTCAGCAGTTCTCCTTCCTTCAGTATTTGAGGAGCTCAATGTGGAAAGAGGTGGTGGCCAGCCAATCGAAACAAGCAGAGCACGGTAATCAGCAATGGCCTGGGGTCTCAAAATAGCCAAGGCGCGATCAACTCTATGATCAGCAGCTGACACAAGTCGGACCCATTGAGGATGTTCCCTTGTCACTGAAGCTAAAATATCATCTACTGATTTAAGGGAATTAATTGCATTGACGCGTATTTCCTGTGAAAAGATGTAACAAAGTAAGACAATCAACTCTTGAAGCATGACTCCAAACAGAAACCATTCAGCTGATGATAGTTTCCAGGGAGAACCTCTAAATACTGTCTAGTAGACTGTTTCTTCAGATTTCTGTTCATCACAGAAGTGACTGCATCTTCAATGTCACCAACCAGGCTATCAAGCTTCAATGCTGTCTCTGAAATCAAACAAAGGTAACTGTGATCAGAGGAACAGCCAATATGCGAAAAAACATTGCTCTACAACAGCTTTAATCTTCCAACAAACAAAAGCTCACAAATGTCAATTATCGCATGGCGATAAAAAAATAAAAAAAATAAAAAAATAAAAAATTAGAGGATATACAGGAAAATCACTTGGGCACCATTTCAGAATTACGTCAAGACCAGTCTACTCATAAATCCAACATGCTGCTTCTACAGAAAACTTTTAGTCAATAAAAAAATTGGCAATGGCACAAAAAAGACTGAAAAGGCCAAGTTTTTTCTCTTCCATGAAAATGCAGCATCTCTAAACACTATAATATGATATCAGTTACAGACGCTTCCTTGAGAAAACTTGACAATGACATCACAGGATGAGACAAGGTTAGTATATTTGTCATAAACCAATACTGTAAACTGTAGCATTTTCAGAAATTGGCCTCAACGTCGAAGGTTTATAGTTAAGGTCTCCTAATACAATGTTCCTTTTTTATTTCATATTTAAACAGAATTTTGGCTTAAAAGACAATCAGAGTATCAGACCTTCAAAGCTGGATCTTTGAAAAATGTTTGAGTGTAGTAAGATGTTGCCCATATTCTATTTCAAAAGGAAATCAAATTTGAATTCCCAGCAGATGCCCTATTATTTTATTAAAGAGCAAATAATTCTTACCCACAAGCTCATTCAAAGGCTATGATTTACACTCTAGTCCTCATAGACCTAGCGTCAAATTTCAGCGAATGAAAAATAATCAATTTACTGTAAACCACCAGTGGCCAGCAAATGAGTTACATGAGATGCCAAGAGGCTGCCATCAAACCCAATTCAAATTCTATACTTGTGTCGCCGTAACCACCTAATCTGATTGCCAAAGCTTGATAAAATATGGGAAAACCTCTAAGGGTGCGTTCTATTCACCTTGATTTTCAGGAGGTGCTGAAATTATAAAATCAACTAAACTTTTCTACAATGTATTTGAATTTAACTGATCTATGAACTTATGTGTAAAACTTATTTTTAGTTGTAAATTGAGCTTGGGAAGCCCTTGTTATTTTATTAACCTTTATCTTAACTTATCTATATTTTTTTTTTCCTAAATTAATCCAAACTTAATTAGCATTTAGGAAAGATGGGATACAATCAAACAAATTGAGTAGCTTAAATAGATTAAAAGGGAGATTCGCCAGCTTGATATTATTATTACAAATATATCAACAATCACTAGTACAAATGAAAAGAACTTACCTCAATTTCACAGCTATAATGATTGTTACTGAAAGAAAGACTCGAAATAAGCTCTTCATGACTCTTAATCGAATGAGATCATAATGTAAAGACAACACCACAACAGCCCCATCAAATTCTCACCACGGGCAGGATTTACAGATGGTTCTAATGTACACCAATGATCAACCCACCCTTACCATAAGCCCGATGAAAATAATGATTACTCTTTTCTTGTAATTAACCTAATTATCGATTGTAAAGCGGTTTATGTTGTAAATTTCCACAAATTATTGGCCAGGATTCACAAAGAGAGTACTCAGTATACATTTTCCTTATGACATTTTAATCAATTATGAATTATAAATGCTTCATCAAATTCCACTAATTAGGTTGAACTTTAATTTCTGATAATCACATTATAACTCAAATCATAACCTGACTCAACTTCAAATCAGCAACTTATCTTACAAAATACACAAAGTATATGAATTGCATTATAAATTAAACTTTATAAAACACAAATTAATTCTCAATTTATCAACTAACCAGCATAATTTCGCACCGTCGCAACTCTCGCAACTTCTTTTGCCAATGCTGGTAGCTCATCTACCGCCATATCCTCCGCTTCTCCATCTTCACAAAAAAAAAAATTTAAAAAAATTGGAAAATCAGATAATTTGATTTAAATTCCATGAAAATCAATGATTAATCGATGAATGGAAAAAGTGAAAACCTGAAGTGGAAGCAAAAGAGGAGGATTTGGATTTGAGATCTTGAAGCTGACGATGAACATGATGAAAAGCGTCGGAAATTCGGTGAGAAGAAGAAGCGTAAGAGAGAAGACTAGCGTCGAGGCGGTGAGTAAGATCGGTGAGATGGTGAGTCAACTCAGAGCAGTGAGTGTCCAACTCGGTGACCAGGTTAGTAGATTCGGAGAGGTTGAGGTCGTGTTTCGGAGGAAATGTGGAGTTGAGGAAGGAGACAACCGGAGGAGAGAGGGAGGTGATCGCCGGTAAAGACTCCGGCGAAGAATCCATCGGAAGATTTGCCGGAGTTTTTCTTTTCTTTGATTGCATTCTAGGAGCTTTTACCGATGTTTGGTGTTTTAAAGATGGTTAGCTATGGACCAGTTTGGGCTATCTCTGGTCGAGAAACATTTGGTGCTAATTCGGGTCATTGGTTGGATTCAAGTTGGATTATTATGAAATTGAGTCGTGCTAAATTATTATGCCTATATTAGATTATATGGAGTGAAATTACTTCGGATTAAGTCGGGTTAAGTTTTGACAATATGTGAGACGTTTAAATGGTGTGATGCATGGATTAAAAAATCCGAAGTGTATATAACATTTGTATTTTTTAAGGTTGGACTATCAAAATCCTTGACACCTACGGAGCATTTGGAATGTGGAATAAGGATAAGAGTATAGAATAAGGATAGAAAATTATGGGTAGGATAAGGATAAAATAAAGGAAAAATTTATTCTAATAAGGTTCGCTGCTAATAATTCCACCTTTGAGCAATATTTTATTCTAATGATCTCTTATGACCAATAACCTGTCGTTTGGGTAAGTTAGGTTTTTTTTTTTTTTTTTAATTCCTTTGCCACGCATCAGTGCATCACCCCCCTTCCCCAACCATCAGTCCCCCTTCATTTCCAACCACCAGGCACCAACATCAGCAATTAACCCAATTCAGCCCCTCATACCACACAATCCCTTTGTACTCGCTGCACCTTGCTGACTCACCAATAGTCACGCCACCAGCATCTACACCTCCTTTTCACCAGCAAACCAGCACCCGCGCAATTCAGCCAATCAACTCGCAATCCCTACACTCTAATCCGCCAATTCGACCTCCAAATCATTGCAATCAGCATTTCGGCTACCTACAATCATGATTCTGGCCTCCATTTGAGCAATTTGACGCCAACAACTTCAATTGATGCTCCAAAAGACCCAAGACGCGCCTTTGTTGTGGTGGGAATTTTCGTGGTGGGGAGGGCTAGGGTGGCGTTTTTCAGGGGTTAGGGAAGGTTGGGGCTGGGCGTTTCGGGGTGTGGGAAGGCTGAAAGGAATCGATTTGGGGTGAGGATAGATTGCGGATGGGGTGTTTCGAGGTTGCGAGTGGCTAGGATAGGCTATTTTAGGGGTGGGCGTGGCTGGGGTTTTATGTTTCGGGGTGGGGTGGTTGGGATGGGTTGTTTCAGGGATGGGCATGGCTGGCTCTATTGTTTCGGGGTCGTGGGTGGGGGTGGCTGGTTGCAGGGGGAGGGGTGGGCTGCGTAGCCGGGAAAAATGGAGGAAGGAGGGGAAAACGATAGGGATTTGTTAAACATCGCCCACAAATTACTACATAAAGCCCACAAAATTCACTTGGTTTCCCAAAATTGCCCTTGACCTTAAAAAAAAAAACACTCACACTCTCATCACTCACACTCTCATCAATCACACTCTCATTGCTCATCTTCTTTCAACCTCTCTAAAAAAAAAAAAATCAAAATAACGGCAATGTCGAGGCGGCAAGGCAAGGAAGTGGCGGCGGCGGCGGAGGGAAGGATGTCCCAAGGTGGAAAGGTATATTTTTGTTTAAAAAAAAAAAAAAAAAGGGGAAAACCGCCGTGAACGCGGTGGGGCGCCCTGGCTGGACGCCCAGCCGGCGGTGGTGGCGCCATATGCAGACGCCGCCACCAGTTGGCTGGCGCCTGGGCTGGACGCCACCGCCACGGTTGTGGCGTTTAGTCTAAGCGCCGCAGCCGTGGCTGTGGCGTCCAGCCCAAACGCCAGCCAACTGGTGGCGGCGTCTGCATCTGGCGCCACCACCGCCGGCTGGGCGTCCAGCCAGGGCGCCCCCCCCATTTTTTTTTTTTTTTTTTTAATTTTTTTAAAAAATTGTTTTTAAATTTTTTTTTTTTTTTTTTTGTAATATAATTTTGAATTGTTTTTATATTTTGTTGTTTATTTTTATAAATTTTTTCAATTTCGTTGTATTTTTTCTACGTTTATATTTTGTTTACTATTATTTGTTTGTTTTTAGTGTATTTGATTTGCGATGATGATTATTTATCGTATAAATTTTTGTATGTTTATATATTTTAAAATTTTGTGTAGGGTCGTCATGGTGGGGGGAAGAATATAGAGCTTCTTAGTAGAAGTTATTCAGTGGAGAGGTCGGGGCATAGACATGTCAGATCCCGTGGTATTTCGGCCTCAGTTCGTAGAGAACGGATCCACCGTCGGGATGAGGATGACGATGACGATGATGATGCTGAGGAGGGTGACCAGGAGGAGGAGCAGGAGGAGGGCGCAGATGAGGATGAGGATGTGGACGATGGCAGTGGACCGTATGATGATTACGGTCCATTCAGTCAGAGGGTTGATGACATGTACGAGACGCATATGGTGGAGGTGCGTAAGGGTAGGGGTGGTAGGTTTGTTAGTAGATCTGGCACATCATCTGCGTCCACTGTCTCTGGGGCAAGCAGGAAACGGTCGAGGGCGGGTAATGATTCTTGGGTTGTTAGGAGTGAGGTGCCCGGTGAACCTGTTGACGGGAGTGTGATTCCTAGCTTTCTAGGACACATAGCTGCCCGTATTTGGGAGGACCAGGAGAGGCCTTCAGTTACGGGGTTGTTGAAATGTCATACCCGGGAAAAGACTTGTAGTTTTTTGCGTACATGGGCTGAGGCCTGGCCGGCGGAGAGCGAGATGTTCGAGCGACTGGAGGGCACTGGGGTGAAGCATGTTCCTGCCACCATGCACGATAAGATTGACAGTACGCTGATCACGGCTTTCATTGAGCGATGGCAGCCGGATACAAACTCTTTTCACCTTCCGTTCGGTGAGATGACGATCATGTTACATGACGTCGAGGCCATTCTGGGGATTCGTGTTGAGGGTAAACGACTTTGTGCTGTGGCTGATGCGGATCAGGCAGATTCGCTGGCGGAGTTGTTGGCGGTGGACAGGGCTGCACTGTACACCGAGGCGCTAGGTGTTTGGGAACACGGAGGTGTGAAGATCGCATCTGTGTTGCAGCGGTGTTTGTACCCGAGTGCACGTAGGACGCCCGACGCACAGCTGAGTGCTTATGTTTTTCTACTCCTCGGATGTACCTTGTTTCCGGATAAGAGCGGCGGAAACAAGCTCAGGCCACGCGATATCGTAGAGGCGTGTGACCCCGACAGTGTAGGCCAGTTTTCCTGGGGATCGGCTACGTTGGCGTATTTGTATCGCCAACTAGGATTTGCGAGTCGGGCTGACGCGGCAGGTATCACTGGGTGTCTGACTCTATTGCAGACTTGGATATACGAGTATTTTCCTGCATTGCGACCACATCGTGACCCAGTTCCTATTGATGAGGGGATGCCGCGTGCTTGTGCGTGGAGTCCCCGCTCGGAGAAGAAGTCCGTTGACCGCCTCCGATCGATACGGTTATTGCTGGACAGGCTGTCCCCCTTAGAGGTAACGTTTATTTATAGAGTCTACATTTTATTATTTGCACATATTATATTCATGTTATTATATTTTATATGTTGTAATTGTACAGGTGAACTGGATGCCTTTCGGCCCGAACCCTAGTGTTAGGGTACCCAGGACCCTGTACACGGGACTCATTCAGTATCGTGACATCGTCGAAGCGTACATGCCCCAGCGTTGTCTTCGCCAACTTGGATTTGTCCAAGTTGTCCCTCCTCCCCCGGCGTGCCCGATGAAGGCGGTCCGACCTGCATCGTCGAGGGAGTACGTCGTGGAATAGCCGGATATCATGACCGGGACGTGGGACCATTTTCCGATGGTGGCTCGATTATGGACAGCGGAGTTGCAGCGGCCGCCCTCTGGGGTTACTCCCATGTGTGACCATTACTACATGGAATGGTTCAACCGGTATTCGCACCCGAGGTTGATCGCTGATCTCGACCACAGCGATGATGATTATGTGCCACCGCCTACTGCCACGGAAGCGGTATGTCTTTTATTATATTTATCGTTGTCTTTTAATTAAGTTTTATTTGTTGTTATTGTATTTCATCTTCTGTTTTTTGTTGTATGCAGTGGATGGGAAAGATAATGCAAGACGTTCAGAAACTCTCTCTTGAGAAGGACAGCATGAGTGCAACAGGGAGAGCTGTTGTTGATAGTCTGGAACAGACCCTTGCGCAGTGGGAGTCGTCGTCGAGGAGGGATTACTGATGGTTATTGTATTTTATTTATAGAACATTATGTTGGACATTATGTTGTAAAATTGTAACATTTTAGATTGTTCTTTTAGCTTCCAACTTAAACATATTATCAGTGCTGTTTTTAAATTTTGATATAACCGTTCGTGGATCCGCGCAACTTACCCATGCAACATATAGAATGCAGTAAGCAATACAATATAAAATATTAATGTTCTCATTAAAAGAGCAACGTACAAATAAGATTACAAATAAAGAATGTAAACAAGAAAAACTAAAATGCAGCTAGGGTGTTCCATTCGTGGATCCGGTCATTATATAGCGCATCCCAACCCTCTACGCTCGCTGTGCGAATGTTGTACCACCGAGGTATAATCGGTGGCACCGGAAAATCGGTTGACATGTCTAGTCGGATGAAATGTCTGTATGACGACCCAAGAAACGCAATAGCTAGCTCTCTGACCGGTGTGGTGACAGTCTCACGCGACCGCCAAGGGAGAACCGTGGTACAAGGATAATAAGCTTGACTATGCACTCCCAGGCCGAAATGCATGACTGCGCATTTGTAAATGTTTGCAACGGCAAACAGATCTAGGGGCGCGTCAAAATAATGATTTTCGCCGCAAGGTCCACCTCCCCACCGGATACGTCGGAGAGCGCCATCCAAGTCATCCTCGTACACATGACGATAAACATTTCGGTTAGAGGCAATTTCGCTGTACATCAACTCACGCACCAAACCGTAGTTGTCTTCGCCCATTTGAAAAACATCAGCCACGACCCGGAATCCGCAGTTACCATCTCCGATTACATCATTCCACCCTTCCACGTACGACATGATGATCGCAGGTATCCTTTCCTTGTACGGAAACTGATCAACATCGTTTCTTCCTATTCACCAAATAATTAATTATAGACAGTTAAGAAGACAGGAGTAACACTTTAAAACTATGTGCAATAAAAACAACCAAAACGTACCAGTTCTCAGGGGCATATTCACAGACGATGAAGATTGTTTACGACTAGATGACGATGTCCGACCACGAGAACGACCACGACCATGACCACGGATATACTCAAACGCACTCCTGTTCCGCCGCTGTCGACCTCGAGGACGGTCAACTCCTTCGGGTTCCTCATAATCTAAGTTAGACGGGTGGAACATGTCATGAAGCACATGAGTAGCGTCACGAATAATAGAAGGATGGCTGGAGGACACTCGGTCGTACATCGAACGGAACTGCTCCAACTCTTCCTGTTCACGGTCGGCCGTTTGATTGTCTGCATGCTCACCAATAACAAGCGTCCTCCAGAATGAATGGACCTGATCAACATGTAACGACGCCCTTTCTTCTGTAATAACGCGATGAATGGTGCATGCGCAAGGTAATCCATGAGTTACTGAAATAATACACCCACACCGAGTATACACTTCGTCAGCCAAGTCCCTCACCCTGTTCAGCTCAGTGAGAATCAACCCCAAGCAGTAGTGCGACACACGACCATGGAGAATCTTAAATATAAAATGGCTATACATCGTACCATGTCGTCGTCTGGAGTCCTCTAGAGAGTTCCTGATGTCGTTCTTCTGAGTTTCAATTGACTTGTTCAGTCTAGCGAACAGTGTATCCAAAGCAGCGGTCGATGAATCAATCCAGTCCTTGGTAGCTTTATGAGCGCTCTCAACTCTACATGTTGTAGTGTTCCCAAAATGAAGTACCTGGTTTGTCCAATATTTGACAAACTTTTCCCTGTGAGGGACCCATTGATGCATCACATAGTCCACCAGTGCCGGACACCACTGGTACGAATCCCTGAAGTTAGCCAATGCTCGCTCATACGCTTCCTCTGTGGTAGCCTGTAGGATCTTCCGCCACTTACCATTCACCAATCTCTCTGCCATTTCCAAATTCTTCTTGAAAAGGTTGTAGGCTTTCACTTTCACGCAGTTGTTGATGTGCCATGTGCACAATAAGTGGTTCGATTCGGGAAACAGCTCTGCTATGGGGGCAAAGAGACCTCCCTCACAGTCGCTGACGATGGCTGCTGGATGAACATTAGGCCCGATGTAGTTTCTCAGCATCTCCAAAACCCAATAATAACTTGGAGCCGTCTCATCCCTGATGATTGCATGACCAATCAGAAAGTTCTGGTTCGTTGGAGCCATCCCAACCATCTCAACCAGAGGGAACTTGTACTTGTTTGTCTTGTACGTTGAGTCGATCAAAATCACAAATGGCCAAGACTTGATCATATCAGCACAATCAGGATGCACAAGGAAAAGATGAGTCACCTCCGCTGTATCTTCATCAGAATCAAACCAGAACAGGTAACCACGTGATTGTGCCTGGTGTAGCAGCTGCTGTATAGGGTTCCTTCCCTCTGACCGTTCAAACCTGAGTTGCTGTCTGACGTTGTAGATGTGTCTTCGGTTTGGATGGTCTTCTGGAAATTTCTCTAACACAGATGCTAATATTTTAGCAGGCTTCACTTGAGCATCACTCATTTCTTTCACAACTAGTTTCGCAGCAGGACTTAAGCCGCTCAGTTGTCGATGACCCTCTTCATATACTATCATCTCATGGTTGTGATACCCCCATTTAGAGTAACCTATCACTTCCCAACCGTCACGACTCCGTAGTTGTCGAACCTTTACTCTGAACTCACACCCACAACCTTTCCGCTTTGTGTCAAACCGAGTGGTTGTACGAAAATCTCTTTCTTCTCTTTTGCGATAACGGTCACATCTCAAAATGCGATCCATTCTACCATCCCGTTGAGATTTATGAGTTGCTACTACCAAGCAAAATCCAGCTGCAATTGCAACCTGTTTTGCCCAATCAATCGCCTGTTGAGCTTCTTCGAATGGACCATCATGTCCAAATATCTCACTGTAATCATTTCCGTCTCCACCATATTCCTGCATCAATTATATATTACAATAAATACATTTAACGGATAATACATTTAATTTCTATATTTCCACATAATTAACACAAAAAAAAACATAATTATATATAATCAAACTTAATTTTTATAAAAACCCAATTCGAATTTTCAAACTAAATTTAAAAATATACCATTTCGAATTTTCAAATTTAATTTTAAAAAAACCTATTTCGAATTTTCAAATTTAATTTACAAAAAACCCATTTCGAATTTTTTTAAAAAATCATTTTCGATTTTTTATTTTCACAAAAAAATTAAATAAAAAACAACAACAAAATCAAAAAGGAAAAAATAAAATTTAATTATTAAAGGTGGCGTCTGCCAGGGCTGCCACACCCACTGGACTGGCGCCTGGCAGGGCCGCCTCACCCAGTGGAGTGGCGTCTGCCCAGGACGCCAGTCTGGTGGTCTGGGCGTCTGGGCTGGACGCCACTCTGGTGGTCTGGGCGTCTAGCCTGGACGCCACTCTGGTGGTTCTGGCGTCCGGCTTGGACGTCCAGGCTACGGTTTGGGCGTCCACCCTAGGCGCCGTAGCCACTACGACGGTAAACCGTGAATTTTAGCGGTCACTTACCTCGTTTTCCGTCGACGACGACGTACCTCCGGCGTCCCCCGCATCTCCGGCCTGCCATCCGGTCTCCCCCGACGAGCCAATACGGCTCCACATTTTTTACACCGAGATTATCTCAATTTTAGCAAAAGGGCATAATGGTCAAATCATAACATATTTGTGGGCTTTATATGGTAATTTGTGGGCGATGTTTAGCGTTTCACAAACGATAAGGGAGAAGGAAAGGAAAAAAAAATTAATTTTTTTTAAAAATCTTTTTTTTAAAGAAATAAAAAAAATATTTCGACGAATCACAAAGTGACACGTGGAATGTTAACCCATTATACCGGTTACTAACCGGTCATGGACCATTAAAAGAGAATGCCCCATAAAGGTGAGATTATTTGATAATAATCAAAAGGTGGGATTATTAGCAGCGAACCGATCAAAGTTGAGATTATTAAAATCAATTTTTCCTAAAATAAAGTGTTATAAATGAGGGATAAAAATAGAATAAGTAACAAAGTTAAAAATATACCCTTATTAACTCTACCTTTCTCCTTATATCATTTTAATTATAATCCCTATCTCTCCAATCCTCCATCCTTATACCAACCCCCTAGATATAGAAATTGAGGGATAAAAGAGGTTTTAATTCTTGTCTCATCCCCTCTCTAATCTCTATCCCTATAAACAAACATGAAATTTTAATATCCCTATCCATATTCCTCTTTTTTTAACCCCCTAAACAAACAGGCTACTATAGTACAATAGATGAAATCTTGTTTGATTTATTAACAAAATAAATTTTTATTTTTATCATAAATTTTTAATACAGGTAATACATAATTGAATAGTTTGATCATCCAAGTAACGGACTAAACATGGTAAGACTAAAAGTGTTGCTAAGTACAAGTACTTCATAATAGAATTTCCTTGCAAAGATTAACTCGTTTAGTAAGGTTCTTTCCTCACATTTCAGAGTTCTCATATTCAAGTAAATGCTAAAATTACAAAACTAAAATACTTGGGTTTAGAAAGATCAAGAGCAATTGTTGCCATGTTAATTCCCATGTTGAGGCTTTGATCGAGCTGCTTGTACCAAGGCAGACTCCCACAGCTGTCGTTGATAGTTCCCTAAAGTGTTTTGATCTTAGTTCCAATTCTAGTGGTGAAGAAGAATAAATAGTGAGAAATCAATGAGTTCTCAAATAGAAATAGATATTGACCATGATAATGAACCAGATTTTGCGATGGAAAGATAAAGAACCATTTTGGAGAAGGCGCACAAACTCCTGAAGAAACTAGATAGAGTAGACGCATATTCAAATTTACATTGATGTGACCAACGAAGTCGAATCTATTAATGAGTATTTGGCCTTACTTGATTCTGTCATGGCTGATGTTACTTGAAAGGATAGATTCTGACTTCTTATAATGGTAATGCATCAAACAAAGAATAGATAGTTTGATAGTTATTTACTACTCTCTAATACTTGTAGTAATAGTTTCACCTGCTAGACGACACGACAACCATCCATAAGATGTGCTTTTGAAATACGCAGAAGATGAACTAACCACCTGAGCTAACAGTCACCAGTCTCACTACATTTATTTGTACAAATACACAAGAATGCCTTCCAATCACCAATCATATTACCACCAATTTAGCATTCAACAAAGTATATTCTACTGTGTTGATCACAATGGCTATGTCAGCCTCTGAACCTATGCTATGCCCTACTAAAAATAGTACTATATAAGATGCAGAAAATCCTACATATGGCACAAAGTCATCTACATTTCCAGTCTGTCTATCAGAAAGGCCCCTCTGGATCTCCAATGCACTTATCAGAATTTTATCGCATATGGCTAAAGCTGTGGAAGATGATGTTCATCGATAATGATCCACTGTACCAGAGATGCTCTTAGAAATTAATCAACTTCAATTTGGACTATACCGGAGATGCTGTTCATAGAAATTGATCAACTGTAACCACACCAAGGAGGGAAATGTGAGATACTATAGCCACTTTTAGGTAATTTAATGAACATCAATATATCAATATAAAAACCGAGAAAATTACCAGAAGGGGGTTGTTTGCCTTCAGAAACTTGTTATCGACCATAACTTCCTTTCCATCAGACCTAGAAGACAGAAACAAAACAGAAGATTTATTATATGAAACAAATGTCACTAAGAGCATCACATAGAATCATCACAATTGTTTCAAAAAAAAAAAAGAACATCACATAGAATCATAATCAACAAAAACTGTCAGGCCACATCATTTTCAAATACTTAACAACTCTTCTAAAAAGAAACTATTCCTTGTATCAGCTTATAACCGTGTATGTTAAAGGTGAATGTTCTGTAATGAGAATGACAACACAGTCGGAAAAACTCAGTCGAATGAATGTAGATAACTGACACACCATATCTGGCAGTCCAGCTCATTGCTGGACAAACTATTTAACTAGGAAATCACAATTCACAAAGCATGGATTTTATTAAAGCTGAAACTTAGGACAGAGCTCCAATGAGTAAGATAGGTGGGTTCAGGGCTCCTATATGAAAGCAAATACTACGGAGTAGTAAACAAGATGCATCATATACCAGCAGTGTTCACAGTCCAAAGCTTTCTAGCTGATGCAAGGAGAAGGATTTTTGAAGCAGCTGCTTGTAACAAGGCTGCAGCCAAATCTTTGTAAAAAGAAAAAAAAAAAAAAAAAAAAAAAAAAAAACAGCACTGACACACAGACGCCTAAAACACAAGCACAGCTGTAAAAATTGTAATTGCTTAAAAAACACACAAAATTAGTGAGCACCACAAAGAATTACAGGAGAAAATATACATGTCTGCAACTGCAAAAGTATTATTAAGATAAGACTAAACCACAAACCATAACAAAGAATCCAGACAGGTGCAGAAACTAAGAAAGACAATGCAGGGCAAATGTAAAAAAAAAAAAGCATCTGTTGGTAGCTAGATTCATAGGGGCCTTATATTAGTTTCAGTAACTTATCGAGTATAACATTGAGTTTGAAGGGAACATGTATGATCAAAACAAAGGACCAATCAAAAACCATTATGCTTGAGTACAAAATTCAAAGAAAATCAGGAACACTGCAGACTTTGCAAACAGCAAGCGGGTGTCAACATGATAATAGAAATGATGATTTGAGCCAAACTCAAAGCACAGTACTAGCAAAATATAATGCTTTAAGAGGTCAGAAGAGACGGATATGATCCAGCAATAAAAAAGACCTCAGAAAGTTATAGTTAATTGATTTTGCCCTCTATACTAATTGGAAGCCACAACTACTAAATGCGACGAGTTTTTTAGTTACATCTTTTGACAAGTTTTTCAAGTATGCAGTCTAGAAAAAGGTTTGCTAAATCAATATAGTCTGGCTTTTTGCAAAAGAGTGACTGAAGTTGAAGTAACAGAAATAGCTGGCTTCTCTCTTCAGAATAGGTTCATTTCCCCTCATTCCTTCATCAATGCTGCTTATGAATTATAATAATAAAGCTAGCCTCTCTCTCCAGAATAGGTTCATTCCCCCACATTCCTTCATCACCGCTGCTTGAGTTATAATTGCAACCCTTTCAATATATGAGAATCAGGGCATTACCACAGTAAATCCTAAAAGGGATCATTCTCCAATTTAAAAATTAGAGTCCAATTAGCTGTTTGCTGTTCCCATGATCATAAACCAAATATATTATATAAGCATCCCTTTTTTCAACATCCCTCTAACAAACTAAACAACTCAAAACATATCAAAATACATTTAATTTATCTTTTAAGCAGTCCTCAGTCATCCTAAATTTCCGTTTCCTCTTTCCCCCCAGAAACATCACAAAGATAATCTACATTATCATATTCCCAAGCTCTATCAAATTCACACCCCAGAGAGAGAAAGGGAATAGGAAGTTAGGAAAAGTTATCTGAATTTACATTTCATGTTGAATGAACTTCAGAGCATGACATCAAAATAAATATGACCCCAAAAAAACAAGGGTACCTCAACTTCCCAGCACATCAAACATCACCCTCTAACTAGAAGCCCTTACCATATCCTTTGTCAGAGATCTTAGTACTTGAAAACTCAACCTCATATCAGATGTCTCAAACAATTTTGGTTATTTTTCCTCCTGCACCCTCCCATCCCTTTAGCTTTGTCCCCACATTGATAAAAACCACGCAATTGTACTGCAATGATACTACACAAGCTCTTTACACTGAAAACAGAGATGGTGTTTATATGGAGTACATAGGACAAATGATTATAATTTAGGAAAATGACTCAATCAACCAAGAAATTTTAACTCTGCCCAGTATCTGCAAATATGTCACTAACATGAAGAGCTTCAGACATGATAACATTCAAAGCACAATAATACTTAACTAGGAAGAAGGTTTAGCATACCTCATTGCCACAAAGGTTACGGAAACATCCTGAATATTGTTCGTCACCAATGCTGTATAGCTTATTGGCTTGATGAGCCTTGTAATAATAGAGGAACTCCTTGAGCTGTCAAGTTTCTTCTTGCGGTAGGCATCGGAATTTGCTAACATAAGCTCCTCAGCTCTATCACAAGAGCTAATATTCCCAATTGCTGCATTTGCAAAGTAATCAATATTGAGTGACGAAGTATCCTGTGGAAACCTTCTTACAGAACCAGATTTCCTTCGCTTTGCACCTCGACGTAGATTGCTTTCGCCTACTTCCACACTGTTTGCATTGGATTGACTATTTGTTAAACCATCTCCTTCTAGAGTCATAGGCTGCGGAAAATGTACATCCATATTCTTTCCGCTTGAACTTTGACCATATAATTGGTCATTGTTTTGTTTTTCCTTGCTAGCAGCATGTGGAGATACAGTCTCAGAGCCCTTGTAATCAACACTCTTGGCTGCTGTAGGTCTCCTCATTGCCTCATCATGCTCTACAACAACGTCAACCATGCCAGGTTGAGAATGGGCCTGAACTGAGTTGTCTAAAGCAGCAGAGCGTTGATGTTCATTGCTAAGTGATATCCTAACGGGTGTTAACTTACTCTTGGAAACACCATAAGTATATTGCATTTTCTTCTTCGGCTGGGTAAATTTGCGTCTTCTCTTTCGAGAACTCTTCTTTGAGCCAGAGCGCAAGCTACAGTCAACAGAAAAAATGTATCTAAGAAACTAACACTCACCAAATAAGCAAAAAAATCCAACACCTGGAAATGGCTAAGAACATTAACTTATAACAAAGACAAGAGAAAGCAAAAACCTCTCTTCATAAGCTTCCACAACATCAGGACAAGTTTGAAGATGATCAACGGGCTCCCAAGTGTTCGCACTCTCTGGCCAACCCCGCCTAAATCAAGCACAAATTTCACCAAAAAGAAATTTCAGCTAATTTTCATTGAACCAAATCAACTACAATTATATTGAATGTTCTCCCAATTTCAGCAAATTTCACATTTAAATCAACTAGGTTAAAATGATAATTCTCTCATTTTCATTCACTACAACCCAAAATCATAATTCCTACACCTACAACAGCCTATCAAAAGAAATTAAAGTCATCTCTCCACATTACACTATAATTCCATTAGTACATACAGCAATAAACAATGTCTCTCAATCATAATCCATAAGCCAATCCCTAATAAAAAACGCAGAACAACCAGAATGACCTCGGATTAAATCCAGTCTACATCACTACCCTTTGTAACACCCAATACACAACAAATTAAAATAACAGACAAAAAATAATAGAAAATACGCACCATTTGATCAAATATTGACGCTCCCCCTAATCAAAAACAAGAACAAAATTAGACAAAGAAAAATCAAAAAGCCCTAAAAAATCAAAATTAAAAATGGGAATTCAAAATTATCACCTTACAAATCCTCTTCCTACGAATAGATTCAACCTCATAAAACCCTTCAGCAAGCTTCTTCCTTTCTGCACTCGTTTTCCCGTCAATCGAAACATCAACACCATCTCCATTTTCATCTCTTTCTCTCTCCTCTGCTCCCCCTTCACCTTCTTCCTCATACCCTTCATCATCATCATCATCATCATCATCATCATCATCATCTTCTTCCTCATCTTCCTCTTCGTAATCGTCTTCTTCATCTTCTCTCTCCTCACCCCCATCAACATCTATGCCATTTTCTCTCTCCTCCTCATCCTCTGCTTTAATACGCTGCGTATTGAGGGTGGATGAGGAGGGTAAGTCCTTAAACTCGTCGTTTTGAGAAGGGTGAGACTCAGTGAGTGAGTGAGAGTGAGTCAGTGAGTTTGACTCGGATTGAGGAGTCCCACTTCCTCCACTGCTTTTTGGTTTCTTCATTGGTTTCTCTCTCCTCACTTTCTCTCTCTACTGTAGGATGAGTTGTTCTTCTTCTTCTTTCTCAGTTTTCCCTCCTTTGGGGTTTAATTGCTCTCCTATCTATTTGGGCATAATAATCTGACATGTAATAAGGGCAAAGTACAATGTATAGGTATACTTGTATTCAATTTTATGAAACGGCATGTATAATTGTAAACGCCGTTACCTAAGAATTGATATCTGTATAATAATGGAGATATTACATTTCATACAATTGATATCTCTTGTAATAATAGAGATTTCACTTTTCAACTTTGACTTTAAGTCAATAAGTGAACCGTTGAAGGATAGGAAGTGATTCACGCGCTTTTATGAATTAATTGTGAGATATGATTCATGCGTTTTTGACATATGCCCCTCTTTAGTAACTCTTTCCTCGAAATTGTGAAATTCATGCTTGCGAGTGAGGTTGGTCTTTTCATGAGTTTTGCTCAACCCTAACTATGAAGAATGAACAGTGGCGTAAGTTACAAATTCATGAAAGTGTCTTTGCTTCCCTAGCTCATTAGAGTCAATTGAGTGCCTTAAGAGAATATTAGTAATGAAAGGGAGTGCTTCCCTTCTCACCTTCATCTTGACACAAAAAGTTAATAATTTGAAGATAATTCAATAAGGCATTCTAACATTTTAGAACCCTATCACTAATTCAACAATTTTTATCAATTCCATGTTAATTAGAAGGTAGTATTGAATATTGATTAGGCATCCAAAAATTGAGATTAATTTAATAGTTTAATACTCGATTTTTAAGTTTTGAGTATCTAAATTTTGTAATATCAACAGAAAAGGGCTACACTATGAGATACTGCATTGGTTGTCAAGGTATCATCTTATGATAAAAACTAACCTATCAATCAATAATGTCATACGAAGTACGAAGTTACAAGTAAATGTACACATTTGATACACCTCATTGAATGATTGTTTCAGGTATAGTCCTTGTTACATGTATCATTCCTTTGTTTTGCCCTAAATTCAGTATCAAATCTGCTACACTTCCACAATTGGGGCAGAAAATGACCTTTGTACCACATATGAACATTGCACTTCCCCAAATTACATACATTACCTCTACCCCCCTTTTTTCCTCCCTAATATAGAAAATGAGAAAAAGGAAATAAGGGTTCTCTAACTCAATTAAGCATGAATGAGAAATAAAAACAAGATGTAACATACAGTGGCTGAGATTTTGAATGTAAACTTCAGCTGCTTGGATCTTACAAGAACATGTATTGTTGCAAATTTTTCGTTCTCTTCTTATTCTGAAGCTTCCTAAATGCAGACGACTCAATTTGTCTAATCCTTTCCCTACTGACACTCATCAGCTCACCAATCTCTTGTAGCGTCTTCATTCTTCCATCTTCCAATCCAAATCTCCATCTTACCACCTGCTTTTCTCTTGGAGTCAATGTATCCAAAACCTTCTCGAGATCTTGCCTCATGAACTGCTTAGTCAACAAATCCTCAGAAGTTTCAGCTTCAGGGTCTGCAATTACTTCCTGGGGGGAAAATCCACAAGGACTCAATGAGTCATGATTTGAAGTAATGAAGGAAAAAAAGTAATTGAATTGCATGTGTTAGATGAATAACGGAGAAAAGATACATACCGAAGGTTTAAGATTCATATTGAAACCAATTTTCTGGTCTAAAGACCTAGGAGCCTTAGGAGTCATTAGCACTGCATTTAGCCTCTTCATTGAAAGCCCTGCAGCCTCTGCAACTGCCTCGTTTTCAGGTTGTTTTCCATTTTCACTATACAACTGTTTCCGAGCTTCTTTTACTCTATAAGTTGCCTCAACCATGTGAAACTGCATTAACAATCAAAGCATGAAAAAAAAAAAAAACTTACTTCTGGCCTCATAAAACAATATATGCGAGACAATAATGATAATTCAGAGTCATGTTAACTTGGCCCCCTTCATCTCTTGTACAATGAAACACTAATCCCCCACCCCCAAAGGTCTCTGATTGTTACATACGAAAAGAAAACAAAACTTATGGGTCTTAGATTCATTTCTATGTGTCTTATGTTTTTTATCTTTTATGATCTTTGTTAATACAAAGCATATGATTATATAATGGTCAAAGACATGTCTAGGAGACTGCAAACAGATTTTCCGATCAATAAGGGAAAGGATGTAAAGAGCACTTACTGGAAGGCGGATTGTCCTTGACTGATCAGAAAGAGATTTTCGAACTGCCTGTTTTATCCACCAGTGAGCATACGTTGAGAACTTAAACCCTTTGGAGGCATCAAACTTTTCTGCACCTCTAACAAGGCCTCTACATCCTTCCTGCAAGTCAATAGATTTACTTTCATAGGTCACATGCAATAACAAGTTGAGAATAACAAGGAACAATCTTGCAAATTTTAGGTCGATGTAGGTGGACAAGAGGGCAGAAAGGCCAGAAACCTGAACAAGATCTTGAAGATTCATTCCAGATCCTTGATAATTTTTGGCAATTGATATCACAAGCCTTACGTTGCTTTTGATCATTTTATCTTTGCAAAATCTACCATGGTTTAGACGCTTCCTCAAAGTCCTCTGATCAACACCTGCTGCAGCAGCCCACTGCATAAATGATGGCTCCTCCCCAAATTTTTCTACCAGTTCTTTATGCAGCCTTTCTAGTTTGAGCAAATCCTGAAATAGTTGATAACTGCTGATGTCAGTTTACATAGCCAAATACAAAAGCCGAGAAATGTCATGCCCTCTTAAAACCCATCGATATTGACCTTGGATGCAAACTCTCAACTCAAATTTATACATTAACTTAGGTCATTAACAGAGGACCAAAGAAATTTGAATTGTATACATCCTTGAATTTTGTATGAATATGATATTTCTACACAAATACATTTTGTTCACGCAAACTGAATTTTTATTATTTGCTATTTAACAATTAGAGTCCTTCACTACAAGGACTATACAAAGGGCCAGCCGTCAGCATCAATTGACAAGATGATTACCAAGGGGCCAACGCCACAGAGGATCCCAACATGTAAAACTACCTCATTTCCTAAATGATGGTTAGAGTTATAGTAGAAACAGAAACCAAAAAGGGTTAAAAAGAGTGCATATTGTAGAGAAAGTGGGGAATGTACGAAAAAACGAGAGATATGTTGTGAGGTTCCTGCAAGAATTAGAAAGTTGTAAATCTTGTAAGTGGAGTTTGAGTGAAAAAGGTTATTCTTAAGGTAGGCATTACCTCATCTTGAGCATTTTCCAGGTATGTTCTGTGCTATAATAATGTTTTAAGGATCACCAGCTATATGAGATCAACGAAAGAATGCCTAGAAAAAATGAACAAAACTGATACCTTCCTTAACCTGCTCTGACTATAATCTTTCATTTCCTCATATGAACTCTCAAGAGAAGAAAGTTTCCTAACTCATACATGACATTTAGTCCTATAGACCACATTCATATTACAAAACGATTAGACATACCTGAATTCCCACAGACAACTCCAGCTCTTCAGAAGAAGTAAGAAGCTTAGAGGAGCCGGTACCTCTTATGTAACGCAATGGATCAGAATAGTCCACTTCCTGTACAGATGTGCGCTTTCTGCGGCCATTCCCTACCTTGACAGAAACAACATTAGATGCAGCTTTCTCTGCAGCCTTGTCTCTCCTGGCCTTTCTCTCTCCTTGGCGTGTTGACCTAACAGCAATGCTCTCAACAAGTTCTGCTTCCAGGAGTTGAAGCTCCTCACTTGTTGGCTCAATGTCAGCAGGTTCAGAAACAGGGTACTCCATGAGGTCACCTTCTCTAAGAGAAGTGCCTGCACCCTCAAAGTTTCTGACATTCCCTAACTGTTCATTTTCTAAAAGTTGAGCACCATTAAAATGAAGTGATTGACCTTCAGGCTTAGACTCTGGCTTTTTTGGTGGACTGATAATAGCCATTTGTGCGGCATCCTTCGCAAATTTGGCTGCTGCTCTTGCCAAGGCAACTGCTTCAGCAGCAGCGGCGGCAATAACAGCTTCTTCATTTTCAATCAGTACTTTAGCTGCCAAAGCAGTATCGAACTTTGCCTGAGGATGAATACAGAAAATGGTGCACTGGTTAAAGATGCCTTTGTATAGTTTCCATTTCTCTGAGGAAAAGAAAAGCCTCCAGAAAATGAGGGGCTTTATGATTGAGCACATTGTTTCACCTTCATTTCAAAATCAATAAAACAGCTGGACTAACCATCAGTAATAACTTTCCATTCACTGTGATTCCTAAAGGGCAAAGCCACATGTGGGATGCAGAAAATTTTTACAATATATTACGTTATCACTACCCATATCATGAATTGTTGCAAACTATGTGTACCTGGGCTGTTATTCTAATTCAAAGTCTTCATGCCTGATTCTCAGGCACTCAGATATGATCATAAGATGTATGACAATTGTCCCTCCAAAGGAGTCAGAGTGTCAAATTGCCCCAAAATCAAAAGGTTTTCAGCCTACTTGTGGATTTAGAAACTCACCAGTTGAATGAAATGATACAGTTTGCACACCAGTGAACATGCCTAAACCTCATCATACGCATACAACCCTCAACATTCATCATACATTCCAATTCCCTTTTATATATTACAAAAAAACATACAACAACAATCCAAGTAACACAATATAACAAGCAAATACAACTAAAGATAAGAATGGAAACATAATGACCTGATGTAGACCAATAATAGCCAAAAGTTGCAAATTCTTAAAACTAAATTTCAGTTGGTATAACTAGAAAAATCTAGAACATGATCAACACTATGTTTGCGAAACAATTACCAAAGGAAGGAAAGGGGACGCGAGGATCTTACTCGCATTTCCTAAATATGAATCCCACATTCCCTTAGATTACCTGCCCTACAGACTACACCAATGTATATCGAAATAATCGAAAGAAAATAGATACTCACATCCCCGGGAAACTCCCTTCCCTCGCCTTCCCTCGAAATCCCATCATTCAAACACACAATAATGTCAAGATTAATGAGTTCTGACCTCAGCTGGAGAGCCCAAAGTGCTCGAAAAATTGGCATGTGCATATGCAGAAAGTGAATTGGAATTAGATTCAACATAAGACAAGCGCAGCTTCTCTACATCAAATACAGCAGTTTCTGCTGCTGCTGTTGGTGCTGGTGGAGTAGACACCGCACATTGTGTGCGAAAACAGACCGAATCTCTATTTCTCACTGCCAATATTCACATAATAACAATCAAAATCACAACTTCTTAGTTCTATACCCTCATCACATTGACCTCAAACAATTAAAAAAGAAAGAAAATCGAGCAAAATTGATATTAAGATAATTCTAGTATTAAAATTCAATACATGCTTCAAATGGGTATTAAACATATTATCCAAATTACACATTAATCAGCATAAAAGTACACATGAACTAGTACAATCTAATCAAAAAGTTTAAAACTTTAGGCATTAAAATCGAATAGGGTAATCAAAATTAAACCTTTTTAAGTCAAAATCATGATAATTAAAGGGAAAATTAAAAAAAGGATGAAATACATACAGAGGGAAGGTGCAGAAGAAGAAGCAGAAGGAGGATGAAGAATGGAGGAAATAGAGAAAGTGTCAGGTTGACATTTGAATTGCGGCAATAAACATGTCATCTTCTTCTTCGCTGTTCTTCAATATCTGTATCAATGGCGGTGGGTTACATAGATAAAGATGCAGAGAAGTTTGAGTGGGAAGAAGAAAGGAGCAATGGATAAGGAAATCGGAGAGAGTGCTAGGAAAGAGTAACCACAAATGACAAAGAAAACCCCACTTCCTTTTTTCTCTTTTTTTTTAGGCCTTGGTTTGGGTAAATAAACTCCCGCCATTGGCCCACAAAGATGTAGAAAATTAGGTAATTTTATGGGTTTATGAATTGTGATTAGGAATTTTTTAGGATTAAACAAAGAGTTTTTAGGTGAGATTTACAAATGCTGCAAGAGGTTGGCCAACAACAAGAGTTGAACAAGATTTTCTTAATCACTTTTGGAGCTCAAATCGATAAGATGATAAAATTGACTTGTATTTGATTTTCAGATTTGGAAAACCAATAGCAAACCTAACTCTATTTAAAATCACATGATATAAAATTGACTTGAGTGGGATGTTACCTTAAACTATCACATGATCTGAATTGACCAAACTTGAACCCAATTTAAGCGGCTTATTTATCACCTCTGAGTTTTTTTCAAAAAAAAAAAAAAAGCTGAATATACATGTAAAGGACAATAAAGGGTGTTGAGATTTTGATTCGAGAAAAGTTTCCTTTAATTAAAGAACTATCATCAAAACCTCAAAGTAATCTCAAATTTTGATTATTCAAAACTACTCGTATAATATTCTTATATTTAGGGGACACTTTTTCAATATAATTTGATCAATTATTTCTTTCTATTTACAATAGACTTATAAAGGTTCAACAAGATAAAATGACAATCAAAAGTTGGATTATTGTTTGTAGGTAAGTAGAGAGAAAGACATAGAGAACCCTAAATTCACTTTTGTCCAAAACAGCATCCATAACTTTCACCTTTAACGTAGATTAATTGTACCACTTTTACAAGGAATCGTTATTCTATAAGAATTATACAAGAGAATTAGAGCATATTATCTACCCATCTGTACTACAAATTATTTACAACATTTACATATTTAACATGGCTTAAGGCTCAAGTACTGCAAAAGTGCAACATTCTTGAATTTGATCCATAAAAATGAAACATAAATATAACATAGGACCAGAAACTTGTCTGAAAAAGCAAGAGCAGAATAAAGATTAACATCTAAACATCATGTTAATTAATTGAGCAATATGTCACTGATAATTCTATTAATTCCAGCGGTGTTGATCAATGAGCACCATACCGCCAGCCGAAGTCCAAAGGTTGCACTGCAGCTTCCACTTAGCATATGATGTAAATCAAATGAAACATATAATTTGAGGAAGAGAAGCATTACAGAGTACTAGAAATTATCCACAATCTCAGATCACAAAATCGCGAGGGTTGAAACTTATGTTAACCTAAGTAGCAAAGAACCCTGTTGAGAACTGCTGTCTTTCCCGGACATCTTCGGTCTAGACTCTCTAGAGCATCCAGTATCTTCAACGTAGTCTGCTACACACGAGAAAGTTATCAACTATGCAAGTGGCAAGAAAGAATAGGGGCAAATAATGTGGATAATTGAGAAACTGAGGGTCAGATACTCAACTGGGAGAACAGGGTGCAATTACAAATCAACTACAGGTCCTCCAATACCTCAAAAAGGAGCACATACTTTTCCGAACATTTATCTAATCGAATCCCATGGTCTTTTCTTCTCCTTAATAAAAAGCCACCATAAAACATGATGATTTAAAAATCAAGGCTTGTAACTTCTACTTTCAACCCGAAGAAAAGACTAGCAATAGAAGGAAAAACTACAGAAAAATCCTTTGTCTCAATTCTACTCAAATTCAAAATTAAAGCCATCAAAGACACATTATTAGAAAAAAAAATTATAGCCTACAAACACATAAACCACCATGTTTTTTTTTACAGAATATACTGAAAGTCTCAATGATGAGCATATTGAAAATAAAGGCAATGTATACAATTCTTGGATCCGCAGACAGATGGATATGGAGATCGTGAAACTCAAGGACCCTTAATGGAAGCTACTGACATCATCTATAATAAAGATGAGCGTACATGGCTCAGGCTGTTCGAATTTATCAGTTACACAACTCAATCTCTGAGCCCTGGGTGTAGGAAGCTTAACATGGATGGTTCTGTCGACAATTGGAGCTTTTATTCAAGCTTAGTCACTCAAGTGTGGGCCGGCTTCTTTGTTAAAGGCAGACTCTTGACTGCCATCCAAGGTACAAGTATAAACATCGATAGAAGGTTGGAAATTGGAACCCAGGAATTAAGCCAAATATCCAGAAGAGAGACTAAGATTGTCATATTGATGCTTTCAAAGGATAGATAATTTCAGCCCACAACTATTATGCAGTTCAATGCCATCCAAAATACCTATGTCTGCTGTGAGGCCAACACAACTTCTCGTTGCCATGTTGGCTTGCAGCTAACTGAACCTTGTCTGAAAGTTTTATTTTGTAAGCTTACCCACCTAGGGCTGTTAAGGGTATTTTGTCAATTCATCGAGTTATGCAGTTGATATCAAGGCTTTTATAAGTCACGCCTTACTGTAGTGGAAATTTTGTTTGGGTTTTGGCCCTCCTATGCACCCAAAAGACACAGCGCAGCCCATCGTAGGGTACGATTAAGAAAAAAAATCCTGATGTTTTTAGAGGATTATGGCACAAAATTTCTTGATTTTCCCAAACTAACATAATGGAACTGCCAGCACTCTTCTGCTTTTATTCAAAGAGAGGGGATTGGATTGGATGCAGAGGCAACAAGGGAACCTTTTGGCCACAGTTTCCATTTATAGACTTAAATATGCTGTTTGATGTCAACTTTCGTCCAGACAACAAAATTTGCAACAATAAAAATGACGGCTATATACCATTTTTTGTGTTTTAGCAGAGTTTTATGCATGAATATAAGAGTTTTTACTCAATCAGAAAAATGAGGAAGGCTGAATATTACCTTCGGTATATATCAAAGGCGAGATTAATTTTGTCCTCTCTTGTCGGCCATATTTAGCTCCTCAATTCATCCCTCCTTATTATGACCTCAGTATGATGTCCTGAGTTCGAAAAGAGATGGATTTTATGATTTCCATCTTCCAAGAATGTTAAATGGATTTAAATGCCTTACATTTAAAGAAAAAAACACATAAGACTATCAGACAGGGTTCAAAGGAAGGGTAATGCAATTGGAAAACCGGAAAACAGTATTGAGAAGATAGAGCAAGCACCTCAATCTGGCAAATGCTATCCGTGCTAAAGCATGATCTTACATTTGAACCAAATATTCATGTAAGTGTTGCGCAGTTCTTGATCATAAGCTTATTGTTGACATATGCAAGTCCTGTTTGTTTTTCACCAGTTAATACTACAAGATCCACCATAGTATAAAAGAAGTGGTTGTATATTTTCTTCATATGTTTTCAGCTTTGCAGAAGCTATGTTCTCTTCTTTTGGGAAAAGTCAAGGCTGTAGCCAGGATTCTTCTTCAACTTATGTTTCTCCATCAATTTATGTGTACCCCAAGAATCATTCCACAACCCGGATGCAGCATATATATTAGCCAAAGCAACATAATTAGAAGAATTTTTGGTATCCAAATTGAAAAGGTGATTTGCAGCTAACTTTCCAAGAGAGATATCTCCGTGGACATTAGAAGCACCAAGTATAGCTCCCCAATGCAATTTATTTGGCTGAATATCCATCTTTTGCATTATAACAAAAGCTTCCTCTAATTGACCACCTCGTGCAAGCACATCTATCATGCATGAATAGTGTTTTTCAGTTGGAGCAATGTTATGTTTGCCGACCATATTATTAAAGCACTCCCAACCTTCCCTAATTAACCCTGCATGACTACAAGCAAATAGAAGAGACAAAAATGTAACATCATTCGGCTTGAGACCCTCATATTCCATCTTCCTATACAATGACATTGCCTCATGTCCATAGCCATGCTTGGCATATCCATCAATCAAAGATGACCATGAAATGACATTCTTTTCTTCCATTTGATCAAAAGCACAAATGGCTTCCTTAAGCTCCCCACATTTGGCATACATATCAATAAGGGCATTGCCCATAACCACGTCATGAGTAGGAACATACTTAAGTGCAAGAGCATGAATTTGTCTACCAAAGTTCAACAAAGAAGAATTAGAACACATACTAAGCATGGTACAGAGGATAAAACCATCTAGCACCATGCCACTGTGGTATATTTCACCAAACAGATTCAAAGCATCAATATGATGATCATTGTCAAGTGCAAAGCCAGCAATCATAGCAGTGTAAGACACTAGATCCTTTACCATCATACTCCTAAATACAGAGTAGGCATACTTTGTGCTTCCACATTTTGCATACGCGTCTATTAGCAGTCTACTCAGCAGTTCATGTAATCCGAAGCCATGTTGTACAATAAGTCCATGTATTTGGAAAACTCTGGAAGGATTATTACCTTGAGCACAGGCATTCAATAAACTCCCAAAAGTAAAGCAATCTGGTATTTTACCTAGTAATTTCGAAGGGCAGCAAACATATCAGATTTAATAGTTGCCAATCAAAAACTAATTTATACTCTAAACAATATTAAACACCTCACCTTCTTTCATCATAGACCAGAACATTCGAAATGCATCATTTACATAGCCCTGAACTGCAAATCCACCAATCATTGCATTCCAACAGACCAAATCCCTCTCAGACATCATCTGAAAGACAATGCTCGCATCCTCGATACGCCCACACTTCGAATGCAGGTCAACCAATGCACTCTGTACAAACAAATTCCCAGCGAACCTACTCTTCTGCAAACACCCTTGAGTTTGCTTCCCACTCCTCAAACACATCAACTTGGTACATGCCCTCAATGCACTACCAAACGTAAACTGATTACCTTTCACACCTGAATAATGCATACTCTCAAAAACCATAAGGGCATCCTTAAAGAACCCATTTTGGGAGTACCCAGATACCAAAGCAGTCCAAGATACAATATTTCTTTCAGGCATTTTATCAAACACCTTACGTGCATGCTTCATGTCACCAATTTTGCCATAGAATATGATCATTTTGTTATTCAAAGTCACATTGGAGTCAATCCCATTAAAGAAAAGATACTTGTGAATCAAACGCCCTTCTTTTCCAGCTTTTGCATCAATGCACATTTGAAGCAAATTCAAGTAAAATGAAGGGTCTGAAGGAACTGGGTTCCTGAAGATGGGTCTGAGAGCTTCATATAATTTACCCATGATAAAGTTCCAAGTCTGGAACTTGAATAGACAAAATTACGAATAAAGATATGAAACATTATGCATTGTACGTGAAAATAAGCAACAATTTCAACGATTAGACTATTGGAGTATACACGGGTCCAGGGGGGTAAGAACAAGGTTTTTTTTTTTTCTTTAAAGAATGAAGAGATCAATTGTAATTACAAAGTAAATTTTTGACAAAAATTGCGGGCAAGGGTTTTTTAATTTAAAAAATTAAATACGAATGTATTGTGTACATGATAAAAGCCGTAAAGTCAAAAGTATTTATTGGTATACGTTTTCGTTTGAGATATCTTTTAATTGAATGCATAAGAAAAAGAAATAGTCTTGATTGTACCATGCACATGGTACAACCGGTTGTATAATAAAAATTGTTAAACACTTCACCACCGTTATCATTATCTATGGGCTTATAGATCATTGGTGTTGTTTATCTATGGGCTTATAGATCATTGGTATTGTTTTCTTGTTGATTTAATGATTTGGTTTTATACACCAAAAATATGTAGTATATGTATATGTACTTCAATAAACAGTTCAACCTTTCTCATTCATATCTTTACAATATATTACATATACAATTACAAGATGATAAATGTTCTCTAAATATTATCTTAAATCCAAGTGTATAGTAAAAAGGCTAAGATTAGGTTTGGTTTGAGCTATATCAAGGTGGTGAGTCATCTACTATAGAATTGATTAGGACAAGATTACATGCAGTTCGATCTTGTCTTGACCAAGCATTATCATCACCTTCATTTTCATTTTCATTTTCTTATCATTTACTTTGTTAAGAATAAAAAAATTATTCATATACCTCCGTAGATGTTGACATTATAAATAGAGAGATGAGAGAGGGGAAAGAAGAGCATGAATGTATTCAACCAATCCATAAAGTGATTACAATTAACCATAAACAAAGATGGTAAGCTAATTTAATTAAGCTAATAATCCTACAAAGCAACTAGTGTTGCTGCTACTACAACTGTTAATAATGTGGGATAGGTTACTCCCCACTAGCTGCTCACCAAGCAAAATTTGGTGGAGTTGATGGGGAAGTCACTTTGTGACTTTGAGGTCACGATGAGAGTAGTGGATTTCCCTTATCTTTCCCCTTTGTTCTCCATCGTTAACCTGCAGAGCTGGCTGATTTAACATGTGAGAGGTGTCAGTTCAATAGGGTTTTTCATCTTGCCTTAAACTCCCTACTAGCTCATTACCAAACTAACTTAATAAACGCAAAACTAGTAACTAAACATTAAGGAAGTATTCTGTATTATCTTCCTATTTTAAACACTACATCTAATGCGGTATGCAATTTGAAATATTGCCAATTTAATAGCAATTTCATTTCAATTGATCAAAAGTTAATACTTTCATACAAGTAAATGAGAAGTATATTCCATTTTAAATTCAAATCTGGTCAATTTTTCCAAATCGGAAATCTTACAAGTTACAAGAGTGGCATTACAATGAGAGGCCCCGGTTGCCAGCTGAAAGTGAGAGAGATAGGAAAACTGTAGAGAAGTGAGAAAATGTGAAACACTCGGTCTTCACCCTTCTCTTCTTCTTCAAATTCCATTCCAAAATTGGAATGATGCAGATTCTTTCACTTTCAATTTCACCATTACCAACTTCTTCATGTCATCTTATGTTTAACCCCACTTCTCTTTCATCATCTTCATCTTCATCTTCATCCTCTTTCAACTGCTGTCTTTCCCCTGCTTCTGTTTCTGCTTCTTCTGCACCTGAGTCTCAATCCAAGCTTCAATCACAACCTTCTCAAATTTCCAATCCGAAAAATAACAATATCAAGAAGATGAATGATGAGGGTAATAGTAATTATACCAAAAAGGGTATTTCTAAAATTCAAGTTTCAAGGCAAAAATATATCCCAGTTTCAAAATCCCAACTTCATGATGCTCTCCTCTCTTTCCTCCGTGATAATCAAGGTGGTGGAGTCGGTGGCGAAGATGATGATGATGATTCCATTGTATCCCATTTCGTCCTCCTCTCTTCGTAAGCTTCTTTATTAGATTATATGAGTAGTTTAATTGCCTTTTGATGTTTCTAAATTTTGATGAGTTTTCTAGCTATAATTTTTGCTTGCTATGAAATGGAGTATAATTGTATGTTTTCTATGATTGTGAGAAATATTAATGGAATGATTTTACACATTGAATGATGAGAAGCGCGGACAATTGGATCATTTATTCATTTCACTTGGAAGTAGTTTACTAGTGTATGCGTTCCCCAGATTTTACTTATCTAAATTCTAAACTTATCAAAATTTATTATAGGAAAACTTATTTTACTTCGTAGTTGGTAAGGAACTTATCATACCTTAATAAGGTGAACATAATGGGGCCCAAGCTGTAATTCTCCTATATTAAGTTTCTACAAAAATAAGTTTTAATCATTATAAACTAATTTGATGAATCAATGCAGTTTTAATAGGTAATAATTAGTTTCAATCAGTAACTGCATTAGCAAAAAAACAGTAGTGAATTACAGTAGTAAACACGAGTTTTAGTCAATTAATATCAATTATAATCAATAAAAATAATTTCAGTTCAGTAAAAGTCGGCTGACAGGAAGGCCTAAGTAAGTGTATTCACCCACAAAGGTACTTATTTTTTAGAGTGAATATTTGCTGACCTGATTGATTTTCCCACGATTCTGAAAATTATTTGTGAAATTAGAGGAGATTGTGGTTGTTATTCCCATAATTTGTCTAGTTTTCACTATGGCTTATAGATGTTGATATTGCTATCTTGTTTATAGGTGCTTGGACTCAATTCTTCATGCTGAGCATAAAAGCATTCTGGAGGAAATGCGAGCTGATTACCTCTCCACTCAGTCTGTGAGACATGAGGAGGATTTGGATGCATTTGGACTTGAAAGGGAAAGAGAACCTGATTCTTTTGAGGGCATTGAGTTTGTTAATGGTCGAGGGAATGGGAGTGTGAAGAGTAGTGGAGATGACACCACATATTTAGAGGAGAACCAATTGTCTTTCTTAAAAGGGCTGGACTTGATGCAAATTTTTAGTGATACTCCAAAGAATGATGACAAGAACTCCAGGTATTATAGCTAACATATCCATTTATATGATGATCATAATATAGTCTGCATTTATTTCTCCTTGAGCTAGCTTCGTACATTAAGCTACTAATAAGGGGTTATGTCCCTTTAGTTCAAGTCACAACTCACAAGGCAACAGATAGACTCACCCGGATGTGAGGCTTTGAGTGTCATTATCGAAATCCTTTTGTTAGAAATTCATGTCATTTCGATGGAGTATCAATTATGGTTATTATCTGTTCCTGCAGTTGCATGTCTGTTACTTGTAACGAAATAAACGCCACCTTCAGGCAACATGAACTTACTGTGCAGTACTTCTGAAGTGGCTACAGCGACCCGTTTCCAACGCTCTTTCATGAAGCTTCTTCAAGATGCACAATTTGAAGAGCTATCAGTGAGGGATCTGATGCTTACATCTGCATTAAACAGTGATTATCTTCTCACTTTGCCGATATATGTTGATTGGAAAAGAGCTTCTGAGTCCAAAGCAATTATATTCAGGTGCTGTTTCAGTATTAATGTTTGCATGAATACTCAAATAAAGCTCTAACTGTCAAAGCATATTACTTTAGTACATTATTTCCAAGTATCACATATAGTCAGCCTTAGGGCTTTCTCATAGACCTTTGACTCTGACATTGATTGATTGACCTACCACTTTACTACAAATAAGAAATTGTTCACAGGAAATTAGACATTTGTTTTAGTTCTTTGTAATCAAAAGTTGAGATGTTGCCAACTATGACTCATTTAGCTATCTTGTAAATGTATGAAATATTTATTTTAGGCAATGTACTTTAGTAAAAATGATTCATCTGAAGTGAAAACTAGGGTATGAGAATAGATGGGGATAGATGATTTGTCAATACGAGGTCAAACGATCAACTATGTAAAACTAAACCTATCAGACTTATATTCTATATGTTGGTTGCTACTCAGTAACACTACCTAATTTCCATTCCAATCCAATAGCTACCACATCTTATATCAGATCAAAGAAAGAACAAATTGTGTCCTTTCTTGTTAATGCTAAGCCCATTTTTTTTTGAAACACTAATATACAAGGCATCTGTTTCTTTTAGGTGTCCTTACAGTCCCCTTCTTGAGTCTTTATGTCCAATTGGTACAACTCCTATGGCTGCTCACTTGTTTGTACTACATTATTATTCCAGCTTTATTTTATATCCCAAAAACGTCAACATTCACTTAGCTTATGTCTTCTAGTTACTTGCTCCTTTTTCACTTAGCTTATTGCATTAAACTCTTTTATCGGCCCTATTGCATCATATCTGAAGACCTTTGACTGTAAGGGTGCTGCGTTAGTGAAGTGACAAGTGGTAGATTCCAGGATTAACAGAGTTCAGAGTAAATCTTATCATGATTCATCTTAATCCTATTGAATGGTAATTCTCAATCTTATTGACAGCATTGGGCTACAATTTCTGGAACCGGATGTGTGTGGTGGATGTATCTTATTTTTATTAAACTTATAGGTCTTTCCTATAAGCCCTAAAGCAAAACGAGAAAAGAATAATTTTATTTTTTTTTTAGCATGCCTTTCTTTGAATTAGAAATTTTATACATAAATAACGATTATGCATATCCAGGCGGGGCTATGGTACTGAAAAGCAGAAAGGTTTGCTCATAGTCGAAAAGCTTGATTATCTACAATCAAAGGTTTTGCAAGGAATTTTTGGCCTTGTATCAAAACCACTGCTGACTGTTGGACTTGAGATTAACAAGGTACTTTGATTTGCATTTGTACTAGTTTTATAGCTCTTTGAGACTCTTCTAGTCATCCCCCTCCCTTACTATTCACTTATAGGGCTGAGATCCAGTGGGGAATTTCTTAAAATGAGGATGTGCAAACTTTTTGTTCACTCAATATGCATATTATTTCAACTAAATGTGCATACAGTGGGGAATTTCTTAAAATGAGGATGTGCAAACTTTTTGTTCACTCAATATGCATATTATTTCAACTAAATGTGCATATTTTGATTTTCGTGCTAACAATATTTTTCGGTTTCCTGGAAAAATTAAAGTATGCACATTGTATTTGAGAAGAAAAAAAGCTTCCAATCTCATTTAACCTTATGAGTGAAGAGAGGACTGATGAAAATAAGCAAACCAATAAACAATGAATTTTATATTAACTAAGGCCTGTGGTGATCTTCAGTCAATGATGGTTGGAGTGTCTGACTAAATTGATAAGTTAAAGGAAAATTAGATGGTTCCAACCACTCAGTTGGCCTCCAAGGGTCTCATGGGGTTCGTGGGAAGCACC